TTAAGTATTTTTAATATTTATATATCACACTTAAAAAGAATATTTTACCAAAAAAACATTAAATACACATTGTAAATGTTAATAGAAATAGTCTTCAGTGTTCGTCTTTAATTTTGTCAAAACAAATCTCATAAAATCGGTGAAGTCAAAATTTATACGTAAAGTCTATCTATACTAAAAAAATGTAGATTCAAAATTCTTTATCTAATTTCTTCTTTTCCTTATCTAATTCCTTCTTATTGTCTAATTGTATAGAAATCTGTTCTGATTTTGTTCAATCTTCTAATTGTATTTGTACTATATCCCATAAAATCGGTTTAACAAAAAAATCCCATAACATCCGATAAGTAAAAAAAAGCACGTAAAATCTTTACTAAAATAAAAAAGGTTTTACTTATTATCTAATTTATTATCTAATTGTATGAAAATATGTTCTGATTTTATAGTACGTACTACAATTAGCACCCATGTTCAGGAGCTATTTAACGGGCAAGCTCTGTGAAAATAACTCATTTAATGCTTCTGTCCCGTGCATACGGTATGTATTTGTATCACATACTAGAAAATTGTGCACCTCGTGCATCGCACGGACTCTATACTAATAAATGACCTTAAAATTATGCACCCCGTGCATCACCTGTGTTCACATTTTTGCCTATTACAGGTCACGTACTATATATATCCCGTACATTTTTCTTTATTCATTTATATAATTATAAGACTTGATAAATGACCTTAATTTTGTGCACCCCGCGCGTGCATCGCACGAGATCTGTACTAGTCAATATTTATCGGCAGTGGCTTCTTCTCCAAGATTAGGAGATATTGAAATCACATAATAAATATCAATTGTAAAATAAATAAATTAAAAGTACATTGACTAAAAATTTTAATGATATTCCATACGGTGACATTAATAAATGGTGAGGAGTGACTTCACGTGGGCTTCTAGAAGTGAGAAAGTATGGCAAATACATAGCCTAATATTTTTGTCACGTTCTACTAAATAAAATAAGATTTATGTCTAATACAGTCTAAGCATAGGCCAATACACATATTATACTATTTGAATAAAAAAATCATATTTATACTATTTAAAATATAACTATCTAATTGTTAAATCGGTTTATCAAATGCATACTATTTTAGCAATTTTGATTTTAAAGTTTAATTGAAAATCTTCAACCAGAGATTCTTCATTATTTTAAACAACACCAGTTTTGCTAGGGAGTAATCGGATGAGTTCAACTTATGGACCCGTCTATAGTTATTGATAAATGATGTATTGTCACGTGTCCTGTAATAAATAATATTAGACACGTGTAGATACATAAATATGTAAATGATCCATAAAATTTCTGTAAACAACATTTGAAACTAGAGAAAGTCATTTCATGAAATTATGTCAAACAGAAGCTTGGGGAACAAGAACGCATATAATAATTCATTACTTGGTTGACATGCAACTATAATTAATTAATCAACTAATATACGACATAGTTTTATATTTATATGTTTTTCTTTTGTTTAATTATATATGTGTGTTTGTTGGCCCAAAGAATCTTTTTTTTTTCCCTTTCATTTTTATTCTATTTTTTTTTTCATTGACCAAAAGTTGTAAACACGCAATTATTTATTACTAGAACTGCTAGACAATATACACTCAACTTCTGAAAATCAATAAGCCACTTTAAAAAGACAATTGCAATCTTATTCAAAAAGATTATATATATTATATTTCGAGTCCTTGTGGATGGAAAAAACCTTTGTTGGGAGACTCATCCACCACTGCCAGATGTGCGACCCGGGTCAACGAACGGATTAATCGGGGCATAGCTCCGGATAACTTGGCTGGCTACCAAAAATAAAAAATTGTGAAATCCAACTGTTAAAAGCCAACCTTGTCTGGGCCAGGCCCAACGGGATTTGGGCTGGGCTTGCTTGGGACAACCTTGTCACTTTGATTTGTGATTTATTTTCTTTTTAATCTTTAAATTACATTATTTTTTAGTTTATGTCTTATTTATTGATGTTTAAATATTATTTTATTTTGAATTTGATATTTTTGCAAAAGTTAAAAAGTAAAAATGTAAGAGTTGTAAGTTAGCAATTTGATATTAATCTCTTAGTTTATTCAGTAAAGGCTTTCTCATTAAATTTAAAAATGATAAAATTTTTGTAAGTAGTTGCTATTCATTTCATTTCATTGTTTCTCTAAAACTCCATTATCAACTCAATAGTTCTAATTATCAGTCCTATTAATTAATACTTTATTATCTTTCTATCACATCAATTTTAATTCCTCAAATTTTATTTTATCACATCAATTTTGTAGATTTCTTGTACCAATGGGCTTTCTAACAGAAATGTGGCCCATCAGCTTTTCGTAGTGGGCCAGTTTCAAAGTAAGCAGCACAGGTGGGCAGATACTTTGGTTGAATGGTTGAATGCACCTAAATTACAATGTCGGTGGTTAACGATAATGATAATGATATTGATAATAGAGTGATATAAAAATTTCAATATTTATTTCATGTTTATTATTCGTTCTTTGTTATTTATAATTCCAAATTGAGGATATTATTTTAGTAGTTTTAACAATGCTTTATTTTGATATAAATATATAGTGTTATTTTAAATGTTACATATTTACTTATTTTATTTTATAAATGTATAACACTTGACTTTTAAAAATACTTTTAAAAGTATGCACTGAAAAAAGTGAATTTCATAATTTGGAGATAAAGTACAGGGGTGTACTAATTTGTGATTTCTAGGAAGTTTCTAAGATTTCAGAAATCATTATGTATTTTAATCTAGATTTTGTAAGACTTTCAAAAGTCTTGAGGTATTCATTTGATAATTTAAAATGTCTTCAAAGATCTTGATGTATTTAATTAAGACTATAATTTTTTAAGACTTTTTAAGATTTGTTGAGATTTTTAAATATTAAAACATATACGAAATTTAATTCACTTCAAATCTCACTTTCAGATTTAAGATTTCACATATTCATTCTAAATCTAAAAATATTACAAAATCTTAAATCTAAAAAGTCTCAAAATATCACTCGAAATCTCAAATAAATACACATAATCAACTTCTAGACTAATGTATTTTAAAGCTTACCAACCAGAAACAATTATCTACTCTTGACAGTTTTATTGTGGAGCCAACCTTTTTATATACAATAAGTAAATTATACGATATCAGTTCTTTTTTTTTTCTTCGTTTTAAATTTATTCAACATCTATTTTAAAGCTTACCAACCAGAAACAATTATCTACTCTCGACAGTTTTGCTATGAAGTCAACAATTGACTCTATAGTAGAGTCAACACCCATATACAACAAGTAAACTATACCATCGATTTTTTTTTTTCGGTTTAAATTTTCAACATGTCCATATCCGTGTTTCAATGGTCTAATTCTGTAAATTCATTTCAGTCATTTTCAAACACATGCAATTTGCTAAATTACACGACTTTGAAACTAGAAAATAGTTAAAAGCTCATATACTAAGATTAGAATGTATTAAGACACAAATCAAGAAGGTTATACCGAATTTACTAGGCTTATTATTAACCCTATAAATAATGATATTTTTTTTTTCAACTATATTATTCATTCCGTCCAATCAAATTATTTGATTCTTTTTTTTTGAACTTGTTTGCACGCTTCAAATCTCTAAATGTTGATTCTTATTTTTGAACTAGATTGTGTTGATCAAACTTTCCTCCATTGTTGCTGCTCTCTCAGAGCAGCTCTCTTCATCTCTCTCACATACTGACTTGAGCGTCGGAGGCTCTATGCCGGAAACTCCTCCGGCGTTGAGTTCTTGCAGGTATTCTTACGGTTCAAGCGACGGTTCGAAGGCGGCTAAGGCAGATCTGAGCTCATTCCCATTGGTTCATTCCAGATCTGAACTTGTTTCCATTGGTTCATTCCAGATCTGAGAAGAGACCCATCAAATTGTAAAGCTAATATTGTATATTCAGAAATTTAAAATCTTGTAAAGGTGTTGCAGAAAAAAAAAATAATAATCAAGTTTTACTTGTGTAACTATCATTTGAATGATGACCATAATGATTCTTATTAACTGAAGTCCTATTTTCATTAATTGCGAATAAAATTTATTGAAGCTTGCAAGCATATATATATATATATATATACATATATATTGTGTTATATGGAAATTAATTTGGAAGTGGTAGGGGCCGCAACGAGTTCGCCATTTCTTGTGGCTAGCAGCTCGCGAGGGCTTATTGACTAATGCAATCAGGTACCGGCGACATATGACTACGAGCTCGGCATGCACGATATGCACAAGGGACTGTGAAACGACGCTTCACGCCTTACGGGATTGTCCAGCGGCCACTCATACATGGAAGTCTTTAGCTCCTCGCACTTGGTGGGATACTTTCTTCTCGTTGGAGTTTAGTAGTTGGCTCCTGGCCAATTTATCGGGGAGTTCGCCCCGGAGGTGG